AGCAAATTAAGTTTATATTACAAAATTGACTTTAAATTTTGTATCACTTTTCATTATTTAGCTTTTAAATTTAAATTTTAACCAAAAAGTAATGCTCATTTTATATCAAACTTAACGTTCATAGTAAAATAACACAAATCTCAAAGTTCTGTATGGATAAATTTGTTTGTCTGGATAAATGAGTGTTGTTTATTTTTTTTATCTGAACCAACAGTCTGAATAACATAAATGATTGATTTATCCCCAATATTAGTTATTTGAACATCAAAACAAAAAATCATAAAGAGACCGAAGATGGGTTGTCTCATATGGGAAGGAGACGGTGTTTTAAATAAGGGGTAGTGGTATAATTTTTGTGGCTGAATGGAAACAACACACTATTTCTATATGTGCGATTAAGCTATGTTCTGTGCAAATAAGCCGTAAGTAAACAACTCAAATGAGCTGTGCGAATGAGCAAGATAGACCAATAAGCCTAATTAAGACGCAAGTAAACAGCTCCTTAGTAAGTATCGAGCAGGGTCCTATGCACTTGCTCAGTTGATTACCGTAAAGAAAAAAAACGTAGACGTTTTAAAAGTGTACCCACTTAACATTTTAAAACTAAATTTGTAACAGAAATAAGCAGTTGACGTGACGGTTCGTTTGACTGAATTAAAGCTCCTAATATTAGGAGGTTTGGGGTTTGATTCCCACTTGTAGCATGTACTTTTTTGTTGTTGTTGACAACTAGAAAGCCAATAACTTCTCTTCTTAAATAACGTTTAATAACACACTGAATGCTCTATTGATTTCATATAATGTTGTTTGATCATCAACTTTTCCAAAAGTATAAGTTTTTCATCTTGGTTAGTTTTTTTTTTTTTTTTGATTAACCTGGATATCCAACCTGCTATGCGAGCCGACTAATCACAAGATGACCATCTGCTTTGCAGATAACCCGGAGTCACCGCATTTGAACCTCCGTGGCCACAAGAAGATTTTTATTCCACCTTAGATTTGAACCTAAGACCTCCTGGTATTTTTGATATTTGAAGCCAAGCTCAAACCAATCAGACACCATCCTTATGGTTAAATTTGACATGAATAGTAACATGAAGGATAATTGGTGTATTTTTGGTATTAATATGACTAAATTGGGTTACCCCTTTTGCTTTGTAAAAGTTTTGTATTTGATTGAAGCATTGAAATGTTTAAAATCAAGTGGGAATGATGTCATGTGGAGAGCACTCTTTGCCATGGGATTTGCATGTGTCATTCATAGTTTTTTATCATTAAAATATAAAAGAGTTAAAATACTATAAATATCATAAGATAAAATGGTACATATTATTATTTATTTACATCAATAATTGGTATTTAAGTTTGGGAAGGCTACCTAATTTTAGTAAAAAATTCTAAGAATTTCAGAAAATTATTAAATTAAGAAAAATATCAAGATTTATCAGATAATTGTTATTTACGTCAGTAATTGGTATTTAAGTTTTGATGACATGTGATAACCGGGTTATTCGGTTATTAAGTTTGGGGTTATTTTCGAATATTGGTGGTAAGTGAAGGGTTTAACATGTTAATATGCTTAAATGTTTTAGAATACTTCCATTACCTTAGTTGTTTATGTAAGTTTAATTAAGATGTTTTTGTGTTATCTCTTGGAAAAGTTGGTGAAATGCAAGTTATGAAAAAAAGAAGAAAAGAAGGTCTTCAGGATGATTTTGAATAGAAGCAAAAGTAGAAGCTCTTTCATGTGAATCTTTGTTTGGATATTTTTTTCTATTTCATCTTACTATTCATCTTCATCTACGTGAGCAAAAATGTGAGTTTAATTTTTATGAATCGTATGGTTCTTTATATGAGATGATGTTGTAAATCTGTTTTGTTGTCAAAATTTGGCAAAACTATGGGTTTTTGATACGTTTATATCATGTGTGGAAATAAGGGTAGCATATTAAGGAGATGTGTATTTGAGTTATAATGACACATCAAGGTGAGGTGTATACTGGAATAAGAGTGACATATCAAAGAAATATGTATACCAGGATAAGGGTGACATAATAATTGAGTTATAAAATCTGGGTTTTGATCAAGTGCTCATAATTTTCGCATCCTTATAATTTTCGCATCTTTATGATGCGATAACTTGGGGTTGTCGCATCTGTGTGATGCGATAACTTGGAGTTGTCGCATCCTTGATGCGATGAAGTGTGGTTATCGCATTCTTGTGATGCGAGAAGAGAATTTTGTCGCACCTTTGTGATGCGACAAGTTGATTTTATCACACACATATAATGCAACAACTTGGGTTTATCGCATCAGTATGATGCGATGAGTTATGGTCCTCGCACCAAATGGGGTTGTCTCACTCATGTGATGCGAGAAAAAATTTAGAATCATGTACATGATTCGACAAGTTTATTCATAATGTATTCATTAAGTTATTTGGGTATTTGAATGCAATAAATGAGGTTTGTTATATTAAAAAATGATGTATATTTGTTATTATTACAAATATAAGTTTAAAAATGTGATTTGGTGATTATTCATCCTGTCATTGCATCATCTCACTAGACCTTAAGGTCTAACCCATATTTTTTGTTTAAAAAAAATGTGCATTACAAGTCAGGCACAACCGGAAGATAAGGGGAAAAGAAAATTGTGAAGTGATAATATTATGCATACATGAAATTTTGGGCTAGCATAATCTTCTTTTTATCTGCATACATGTTATGTATTCATGCGTATTATAGAGATTTTATGGAAAAAGTTGTGAGCTATTTTGTAAGATAGCTTTTGTAAGAGATTGGGGACTGAATATATAAATTATATTTCTTGATATATGGAAATATATGTTTATATGCAAATATGATTATGGGGTGTAACAAATTTGATATCAAAGTTTGAGTTTAAGGGATTTAGGTATTCAACATGATGCCTAGACT